GTAATGGTTATAGGGAAAATATTACGTTAGCAATTATTTTATTACCCTTTAAATTGATTTCTGGAGGTTATCCAAGGTGCTTCATGACCCATAAATGGGTCCCAAGCCCAACTTTGGGAACCAAAGTGCAGTGGTTCCCAAACTTTTCAGCTTTTGACCCACAAAATAACAGCAGCAGAGACCTGTGCCCCCAGCTGTTTTTGGATGATAAACATTTGTATCAGGTCAACTAAACATGGGCACAGTAACAATATTTTTATACTACATTTATCCATTTTAAGTATACTAACCTCACTCCTTTGTAACAACTAAGGCAAAAATGTAATAAATTCAGAAAATCTTGTCAGGACCCCACCTTGATGTTTCAGGACCCCACTTTGGGTCCCGACCCCAACTTTGGGAAACACTGGGTTAGAGAAACCCCACAAATAAATTCAAAGTGCACCAGTTCATATTGTTTTTAAGTTGTTTCCTTCAGTTGTTCCTCACTGGGAAAAGAACTGTTCAAATCAATGATAAAAAGGTTAAACATAACATTTATGTCTATTATAACTGGATGATGTCTCATATCAATAGAATAAATTTTCAAGACCCAAGATTTAGCAAATAAAATGATAAAAATAAGAAAATAATAGAACGTAGTTTAAATTATGACAAATTATTTAGATTTTTTTTTACATTTTCACAATTTTTATTTGAGTCGTACTGATTTAGACTGTACTTGGTCTTTTTTATATTAAACAAAGAACAACACAAAATAATACAATGTACAAACAATAAGGCATATTTAAAAAAAACAAACTTGCATATCAGAGAAAAGGATGGGTGCAAATAAAGATGAGAAATTTAAAAATAAAAAGAATAATGAACAAAAGGCTAGGGTTTACATATGAAATCATACTCTTCAATTAGAGCACAGGTTGTGGGCATGTTTAGTGTGCATTATTTTAGAGAACTGCAGTACAAAATAAAGTCATTGAGAAATTAATAGAAATTTGGTTTAAATATTTAGATATTTAGCTTTATGGATGAACAATTTCCCCAGAATAATAGTGTTATGAGAAAGTCACTGTTGTTATTGTCCATAAAAAGTCCATAAATCATATTGTTTTCAGAGAACATTTGGAGACTGGGACCAGTCAAACATATCAGACCATAATGTTTCAACATACATGCATTGAAAGAATAAATGTTCTGTTTTCATCACAAAAACAGAATTATTTGTTTCAATACCAAACCTTTGATGAATAAAATAATTCGATGGATATATTCCATTTAAAGTTTTAAAGTGGATTTCTTTGGCTCTTGGTGCAATTGGAAATTTGAGGTATTTAGTGCGTAATTTATGGATTGATTGTGGTAGAAAATTTTGATGAATGGAATTTTTAAATGGCAACGTGGGATAAATAATATTATCAAAAGAGTGCCGGATAATCTTACTGGAAAACCTGGAGTTTTGAGAGAGAATTTTCCAGTTAATAATTTTGGTAAACATGGAACAAAAGGTGAAAAAACCAATGAATCTGAAATTAAACATAACAGCTTTTGAAATGGCTTTGATTATAAGTTTATATGTTTATTTATTTTTAGATTATGCTGTTGACACAGAGCATCATGTGATAACAAACAGCCAAAAATATTTAGTATGAATCATTTTCCCAGAATACAAACAATGACGTCACCACGTAGCACGCTTCGGTCACGTGACCGTCTGTGTGTATTTTGACGTGTAACAGAGCATGTAATCCGGAAGAGCCTTCTCAGAGTCCATCATGTTAACAGGAGTAAGTTACATAATTTAACTCTTTTTGTTTGCGGATTTGGTTAAAGAAACAAGTGAAGGTTCGGTTCGGTTCAGGTTGGGAAGAAGAAAAAAAAAAAAAACAACAGATCCGAACCGAGTCCTGAAGCGGACATCTGCTCTCTGCTAAAGGAGTTAGCATGATGCTACATGGATGTAGC